AGTCCATTGAAAAGTTACATTTGGGGTTGCGTTTTTTAGAGGACGCAATTTTATTTATGGAACATGTAGGGGGGGGGGTCAATACAAGCTTAACTCCAAGTTTGTGGGGTTGGCGTGCTTGTACCCCGGCCGCCATCTTGGATAAAGGGGTCCAAAAACCACGTTTTTGGCTATATCTCCTAAACTATCAATCGTACATAAAACTTGTAAAGACACATTTTGTAGCAAATCGCTGTGTCTACGATTATGTCTCTTTATGTCGTCTCTTTAATCATGTCGAAGATTACCATATCAGCAAGTTGTCTGTGGAATAGGCCTACTAGGAATACCAATAAGTAAAATTGTAGGAATAAAAAAAAATAAAAAAAAATTATTTGGAAAATTTGTTTAAAATAAACGAGAGATCTTAAAAGTAAGGTAAAACTGCTGTTTTGATCGGCTTGTCATGAGCATTGACAAGCCGATCAAATGTTAAGTTTGGCCCTCAAATTGTAACATTTCAATGGACTATCGGAGCGCTGTAAAACCTTAGCTATTAACTTATAGAAAAAATGATGCAAATAAAAGTTGTTCCCCAAAAAACGATCTACAAAAAAGGTCTGATATTATTTTTTCGTAAAATGATAAAAAAAAAAGTTATATCGAAAAATATAAATTTTTTTTCTCGAATTTCTGAAGATTTTCGCTTATAACTTTTTTATTTATAGTTTTACGATAAAAAAGTTACTGGACTAAAGTTGTAGAGAATTTAATTTGCAACAAGAAATGTTAACAAATTTTTTTTTATCAAATAAATAGTTTAAGAGATATATCATAAAAACCGTTTCAACCACTATTTTCAAGATGGCGGCCGTGGGACAAGGGTGGCGACCCCACAAACTTGGTTTTAGCTTTACACTGACCCCCCCTACACATCAAAAAAATAAAATTGCGTCCTCTAAAAAACGCAAGGTTAGGCCTAAAAAATGTAACATTTCAATGGAGCTTGTAGTTTATTGTTAATTACAGAATCGCAGGGCAGGATATTAAAAATGGTGAAGGAAAGGAATGTAGACCTAAGATAGACCTCTCTTATAATGTTTTACTATGATGAATTAGGATTCGTCTGTTCCTAATTAAAATACTGAATACAAATTTTATTTTTGTGTGACAGTAATAAAAATAATAAAGGGGTATAATTTATATCTCATTTAATATAATTACTTTTAAATTAGCTAATAAGCTATAAGTAATAGGTCATGAATATTATAGCAGTTATTTACGCATTTCCCCTAAAAAAGTACCTTCAATATATCTTAAATCTTCTCATATTTCTATAATATACCTAATAGATGACCCTACTATTAAACTAAGGTCTGATCACAAAACAGGCTTGGACACGGTCAAATACAAGATCGCCTAGGAACTTAATTTATCCCTAAGTGTATCCTTGCACAGCTTAGTACACTTAGGGTCTACTACGTGGTGACGCTGATCTTTTTCTATCACGTAAGTAAATACGTCTTCCATCTCTGATTAGACATACCATCACTTATACGTATTATACATTTCGTTTTCAATATTGTGAATAAATAATCTCGTGCAAAAAATCAATTGATAATAAGAAATGGTCCGATCACAAACGTAGACATCCACAAAATGATGTAATAATCACGAAATCACGGTCTTGATTACAAAATGTTTTAAAATAAACATAAGTTAAACCATCTCTTTCAGAAAAGCCTAATAAAGGAACAATAAGAAAGCCTAATAAACGTATTGTGAAAAAGTGACTCAACCTATAACTTATCAAAGGACAGAAAAGACACACTTTACGTATATATAAGTTTACGTTAAACGTTTACGTTAAAATAAAATATGTATAAATTGGTATTAGGAAAGGAGTCCCACTCCTTCGCTGTTATCATATGAAACAACAAGAACGCAGAGTTGTCATCGCCGTCGTAAAATTATGCTTTAAAGTTTAAAGTTTAACTCATTTTTCGGCCCATTGCAGGGTACATTACTTTAAACATACATAAATAAATACTTCTTATGTTACAATATCTCTATAATAACCACGTACAGTTAGAATTTTGAAGTAATATTTCGTACTCTACGTGTATAATTACAATAATTTTAAATTATAATTCTGTATGTGGTTAACACAACAACAACATTTTTTTTTGATGTACCTTGTACGTTTTAAGTGTGCAATGCGTGTGTGTTGCGGTTGTAACTGCCCTGTTTCACAGCGCTGGTCATTCTGCCAGAGACCACGACAGATAAGACCTTACATAAGATAATATTCTACATACATCGTTGTAGGTGAGTCGTTGTAAGTTAAGATCTGTCGTCAAGATTGACCAGCTCGAAGTCCATAACCATTTTATTAAAATCAATTTATGTTTTTTTTAAGAGTCTTTGTCCTTAAATAGGCCTATAAAAACATATATAACTTTTGGGGCACTATGTCTAACACATTTGACAGCTGATTCATGGATTTTGACATTTAAATGAGATGAAATTACTTTTTGCGAATTAAAGTGTACCGTTATTAATAAGTGTATAATGTCGTGATTGTTTTCTTTGTAAGCTGACGTTATATTATTTTTGATTCTTATAAAATTCGAAAAAACAAGTGAAAGAGACACAGAAGTATGACTGCTTGATATCCCAATTGCTTCTGCTTCTATGCACAATTGCTTGTACGCACTACATACTGCTTAGGTAAAAAATATTGAAAACACAGATATTTTAGGTCCTTACATATGAAATTGGCGTTTTGTATGGGAGGAACAAAAAGTCGAATATTATTATTATTATTTTAAAGTATGAACCATTGTTTTCTATGCACTTTTGCCATCTCATAGGTAGTTCATTGATCCCTTTACTAAAAAAAACAGTCGGACGGGAATCAATAAAATCTGTGAAGGCGATTTGGACTGCCCCATCAGAGTTAAATTTTTTCCCTTGCAAGAAGTTGTCCAAATTTCGAAAATAATGGTAATCTGTTGGAGCAAGGTCCGGGGGAGTACGGAGGATGTCTTAGACATTCCAATTGAAGCTCTTCTAATTTGGTAGCCGTCTGTTGTGTGTGGTCTAGCGTTGTCGTGAAGTAGCAGTGGCGTGGAGCGATTGATCAGCCTAGGTTGTTTAGCCGCTAGCTTTTCCATCATGGTTTGCAATTGCTGACAATAGACATCAGCCGTAATAGTCTGGCCAGATTTGAGAAAACTGCAACGAACAATACCGGCACTAGTCCACCAAACGCTTACAAGTAACTTTTTTGGGGTTAATTTTCGCTTGGGGCAGCATTTGGCTGGCTGTCCAGGATCCAACCATAGCGCTGAGCGCTTCCGATTATCGTAAAGAATCCATTTTTCATCACAGGTAATGATTCGGTTTAAAATACTTTATTATTGTGCCGGTTCAGTAATGTAATGCAGCAGTCGACGCGCGTTTGCTGGTTTGCTTCAGTCAATTCGTGAGGTACCCATCTTTCAAGCTTTTTAATCTTCCCAATTTGCTTGAAGTGAATTATAACAGTTTTATCACTAACACCGCAGCCTGCAGCTAACTTGGACGTGGTTTGCGATGGATCCGCTTCCACAATAGCCTTCAATACTTTATTATCAACTTGGGTCTCAGGCCGTCCACGGGGCTTGTTCTGCAGGTTGAAATTTCCAGAACGAAAACGTTGGAACCAAAAACGAACTGTGTTTTCTTTTGCAACATGACCGCCATATACATCATTCACCCTTCGAGTCGTTTCCGCAGCACTAGTGCCACGGCGGAACTCGTACTCGTAAATAATGCGATAGTTTAAGTTTTCCATTTTGTAAAATGAGTGACGCAAGCAGAAAAAAACAGAAGATAAAACAAATGAATGACAGTCATCGAAGCACAAATACATGAGTAAATAGCTGTACAAATTTTAATTTGGAATTCTTAACCAAAGAGGAGATATTTGAGGTCAAAGTGGCCAAAACGTAAAACGCCAATTTCATATGTAAGGACCTAATATGTACCTGCCCCAAATCAATAAAGGGGTTACAGATCTAGGTTTGAGTTTACTTCGTATTACATTATTAAAATTATAATAAATCCATCATTCAGGCACATAAAGATATCTCCTCCAAACCATCTAACTGTAACTACTTTTCATATCAGATATCATAAGCAATTATCAGTGATATCAGACATAAAAAAGCAAAAAATTCACTAAAAATTGATCTTATGTAAATTAAATTACTAACATAACATATATATGGAAGTAGGATCTTATGTATATATTATACAAAGGTATTAATAAAATGATAAATACTTAAACTGTTAGAATTACTTGCTCTGGTATCATTATACATTCTTAAATTTATTGACCAATTTTTTCATAGACTGATAAATCAATCACGTAGTAATGTTTATTTTCAAAAGCTGAGAACTATGTGACTTTGCACCTTTAACTAACTTTCGATTATGTTAATTCATTAAAAATAGTGGTACCGCAGTAACTTTATTTTATATGGAAAATGTAAGGTTGCATTAACATTTATATTCTTTAAACCTTGTGTATATTGTGTATGATGCACAAGTAACTATATATATGTATACAACAATGTTTTACAATACATAGTTCATTATGGAATAAAGTAAAAATATTCTCCAGCTCTGAAGGTACGGATTAGGATTTGGATAAGAACACTGAGTATAAGTTTTTAATAGTCATGATAAGTGTTATATAAATCATCATGACGCTAACGTTACTTTAAAAATTAATTTAATTAAGATTAAGAAAGGTATCGGTAATCTCACATTTTTATCAATTTTATATTGATATAATAAAAATTATCTAACCGATTAAATCTTGCAACGCACCATTTATAATATATAACGGTCATCAATTATACTATAAATTTGCGAGTATTTTAGTATATAAGCTTTGTCATCAGATATTTCAGCAGTACGCGAAAAGACATCGATCGAAATTCGACAATTCTAAGTAATAAAACACACTAGCGATGGGTCAGGCGTGTGAAAAACAAACTGATGTACGAGCATCAGCTCTGGAACTCATTGGTAACACTCCATTAGTTGCTTTGGATCGTCTCCATACAGGTCCTGGACGTCTATTAGCCAAGTGTGAATTCATGAATCCAGGTGGATCTATTAAAGACAGAGCGTCGTACCATATGATACAAAAGGCACGATTACGAGGAGAACTTAAGCCTGGAGACCTTGTCGTAGAAGCAACATCTGGTAATCAAGGATGCGGCCTCGCAGTGGCCTGTTCAGTTTTGGGGCACCCCTTGACTCTTACCATGTCTAAAGGCAATACCGTACAACGTGCAATCCATATGGAAGCCCTTGGAGCTAAATGCATTAGAGTTCCACAAGTCGAGGGCACATATGGCAATGTTACTAATGCAGATCTTATGGCAGCTAAAGATGAAGCTATAGCTTTGCAACAGAAAACTGGAGCCTTTTTTGTAAAGCAATTCCTTAATGAAGACAACGTTGAAGCACACTACACTAGCACTGGCCCGGAAATTTGGCACCAAACAGCGGGTAGAGTGAATGCTTTTGTTACTGCTGTTGGCACGTCGGGTACTTTTATGGGTGTTTCGAAATTCTTGAAGAAACAAAACCCAAAGATACAATGCTACGTTGTAGAACCCGACGGTTGTGAACCAATAAAAGGTAAGCCGATAACCAAAGCATCCAATACACTTCAAGGATCGAGTTATGGTGTTGTACCAGATCTGTTTAAATATGATATCATGAATGATACTATTACAGTCACAGATGAAGAGGCTGAGGAATACATGCATTTAATTGGAAAGAAAGAAGGTTTATACGTAGGATATACCAGTGGCGCGAATGTATGTGCAGCTGTCAAATTGCTCAAATCAGGAAAATTACCTAAAAACGCATGGGTCGTAACTATTCTCTTTGACACAGGTCTTAAGTATACTCCCGTACCTGAATCATTGATGTAAACTTTGATAAGTGATTAAATAGGACAATATTGTAATTAAGCGTAAATAAGAGCTACAGCACTTCAAACGCTTCAAAGATCTTAACGTCAAATTTATTTATTTAACAAAATAAGCTACCATTACAAATTACCGGAATGCGGTAACTATTTACATTTTCACATACTATTCAATAATAATAAATCAAAATAGAAAATAAAATAAATAAAAATATTTTTACAGTATAGGAAGCAAACTTTTTGTCAGTTAACTCAACTATTTTCGTACAGTGTGTCATGTGTGCCCTTTTCAAGAGGTTAATTTTCGCTTACGGTACGAATAGTAAAGACGGTCGATGTCCCTTCTTAACGTAACCATCAGGCCCTGAGGCCTAGGCAATAGAGTACTGCCGGATTGTTTTTTATCAGTTACATGGTAAGCACAAATTCTGGGCGCACTCTGAGTTTGTGGTAGCCCACGGAACCTATAATGAATAAAGTTGAGTACATAAGAAATTATTGTTATATTTGTTATAGTAACCCACTTGCGAACTCGCATTACGTAAACAGCTATTCTTCATCAGTAACGCTCATATTGAAGCTTTTATATATTTAAGTAGGTGATAATTTTTATAGTTTATGTAAGTTATTCTCACGAGTGTAATAATTAGGGGTAAACATAGAATAAGTTATAATTAGATCAGATTTATTTGAAATTAAGTTTTTTAACAAATAGATAATATTATTTTTTACTATTTGAATATCATAGGAAATTCAAAGTGGCTTTTTATTTATATGCATTGGTTCTGTGTTTTGCAAAATAATTTTATGATTCGATGTTTTAAGATACACATTTTATGGAAATTAAAAGTAAATTTTATAAAAAGACGACATTCCGTATTTTAATATGACTTCGATAACGATGTCACAATTCCCGAAATTATACACATATAAAATAAAAAAATAAAATAAAATGTTTATTATGGAATATAAGATACAGGTATCACTTATTCACGTCATTAAATTTGAATCGGTAGACATCCCTACTTATCGGCAAAGAAGATAGAGGGCCGAGAGAAAAAGCCGGCGTATAAAACTCTCGCTACTCATTCAAAATAACAAATCATCATACAAATGACTATGTATATATTTCAGGCAGTACCTATAAATGACGTCATCGTATAATTCTCTGTATTTAATAGGTATCTATATTTATTCGAAAAAAATCATAACCGAAATAACAAATATTAACTTATGATCAGAACAAAGAACAATCAAGAAAAGTTTATATTTATTATTATACTGGAATTTGGTAAATACAATTGTGAAATGAGGAAAAGAACGGTAACATTAAAATCAACTTGGTATTAGGAGTTTTTGTCAACTCATTTTGCTGTAAGTCAATTTTAACAAGCAGCTTTGTCGCGCCAATGCAAAATCTTTTGACAGAGGGTAGGTACAATTCAGAGTTGTGTTAAGTCAATTGTAAATTTTAATCAGAATATTGTTGTTCTGCATTCAATAAACATTAGTTTAACTACTGCCTGGTATCAGAATCAAAAATGCCAGTCGTAATAGCTACGAATCGTTTAGCAAACTCGTTTTGAGCAGTAGCAAGAAAACTTGGCGTCGCGTCGTAAACCGCCTTGGAGAAGTCGGATAAAAATGGTATGACAGCTGTTGTAAGTATTTTAAGCTTGAATAACGGGCTACGGAGCTTGTAGCGAGATGATAATGATATAACATATATATTTGTATATCGTATATCGTGTGAACCCTTTATTGATGTTTGTATAATATACATGCATATGTACCTACGTCTGTAAATGTTTATGAAAGGCTAAGTAAAGGGCGGTTGCGATATGTGGGTTTAGTACCATAATATAATATGACGAGATATCATCAAAGCCAAAAGTTGAGTCAGGCGACACTCGTTAAGGAGTGCATAGATTTAGAGAAATAGACTAGACATCATTTTGAAATTATATAAAGGCTTATAGACTTCGAAGGTTTCGGTGACATAACAGCCATCAAATACATATGATTTTTTTCTGTCTCTTGAAATATACATACAATGCTTGAAAATCATCATCATCATTTTTTTTATTTTTTTTTAAAGGCACACTAACGAAACACATACAAACACTTACAGAGAACGCATAACATAGAAAACAAGATACTCGTAAAAAACACAACATTTAAAAGGAAACATTACAATAATGAAGACAAAATAACTTAAACATTAAAAGTAAAAAACAAACTAGATTAAAAAAATATAAACATGCAATTTACAATATATATATATAAAAAAAAACAATAATTTTCTACTTTGCAATTATCACTATTGGTCACGGATCAACATTGGCTGCAGCATCTTACGCCTGAAGACATGGAGACTGTCACTAAATGGATCTGCTTGGCATGTACTCAGAGCGTCGTTTAATGTCGATAGAGATCTGTGTAGAGGAGCATTACAACCGACGTTGGTCCTCACTGCCCGAACGTAAAAAAGGATAGAAGTGTTTCTTGTGTTCCTCTTTAAGAGGAAGTTCACTTTATTTAAAACATCAGGTAAATCTACCAAGTTATTTAAAATTTTGTCTATCGCGGAGTGATTGCAAGTGAAAGAAAGCTAGCTATCATCAATGGCTTTACAGCCCTTTATGGGGCCTTAGCCTATGCAAGTATCTATCGCTAAATCTATATCGAACTTCTTGTCCAACTTCCAACTTCAAATACCTACTGTTCCGAGGCCCTTGACAACTCCATCTCACCAACATAGCCAACAAGCAGGTAAACCGTACCTGGTTTTTCTTGCCACCTGGTTGTGAATTCAGTAAGGACATGTCCCTTGAAAATATGTGTACTAAATGAATAAAAAGTAATATTCTGATTCTATCCAATCAGGAAGAATGTTTCGTTATTACTTCGCAATTTGTGAGTAGCGATAATGTGTTAAAAATTGTCAAAAATATTAATTTATTATATCAACTTTTATCATTTAGATAACGATTGCTTATTGCTTGTGTAAAAATTCTAAAATATTTTTATTATTATTCTAATAATTATACTATTATAGATTGGGCCTTAAATTCGTGGGGTTTTCCTATTCCGTTTAAAATTGCGACGATCTAAAAAATCCAGGTCCTCAGGTAGGATCTAAACTTCAAACGCATGACCTCATAGGTAAGAGAATCATAACGGCATATAAAGAGAAATAAGAAAAAAATTCAGTCACATTACAAGATTAGGTACATTTCACATTCTTAGCACTAAATTTAATTATTCACTAACAATTTTTGAATATAATAAAAGAAAGAATGTCAATAAATAAATATTTCTTAATGTATATATCTAGTAGACTATGCTTGTGGACAAAATTATCTCGTAACATAAGTAGCGCTACGCACAACTCGAAAACAAGTTGTATTTGTGGCATAAGTTGTTTTATAAAATAAGCCCGTTTACGTAAATCGTTTAAGTTACTGTAATAACTTTAAAACTGAATTACATTACAGAGGCATTTCTTCATAACGTATATGTCATTTCTTAATTACTGCTACAGTTTTAGAACTTTTACACAGACATATTTAAACATTATTTATTTTATTGCATCGACTATTTACAGTTATTATAGTTTGTTCTATCATTTAAAATAAAATCATTCTTTACCCTCTTTTTATTTTTTTTTTTTATTTCTTACTACATCACTTAATATAATAAAAAAATATATAAGGCGCCATAATCTAAGTGAGAAAAAATATACTAAAATTTATTTTACTTTACAAATAATCAATGTATTAGAACGCTAATATTAACTGAATCAGCCGGTATAACTATATAATAAGAAAAAGTTTCTGGTACGACATTTTCGCCAATTTCTCTGCCACATACATGGTCCTAAACACAGACTGATGGACGTGCCAAGAATGAATGATTTTAATGTTATTATTTACTATGTTAAACAAACTAATTGTTCATAAAATGCTATTGTGCTTGAGAATAATTAACTCGCCCCCCCTTTTTCCCCTTTTTTTTTTAAAATAGGGGGAAAAAGTCATTCAGTTCTAAAGCTGGGGTTTTTTTTTCCTTTTGGTTCCCCCCCCTGGGCCCCTCGGGGCGTGCAATTACGCTCCCTCAAACGTCAGTCTATAACAGTATATCAATACTACGATTTGATCACTAATGCTGAGCCATATCATGGAATGACTTTGCGTTAAGCTGTTTATATCGCTAAACGTTGACGATTAAACGATATGGTCGACCATTTCATCAGTTAATAATTAAATTCAGCGACCGGGACGTAAATATAATCGCTAAGTTCACTTGTGTCGAAATTATAACAAATTCATTATTATTCACGATACGATTGTGTAGTTTTTAGAGGTTCAGTGTAGTATGAATGTCGTCATTTTTCATCGTAAAGTTCCAGGATATTATTATTTTATGACAAAAGGATTTCCTGTTGAATAAAACGTAATAATAATAATAATATAGCCTTTTATTCAGATCGACTTAGGTACACACATAAACATAGATCATTATATTAAACTAGATAAAAGAAGGTTAAAAAAAGAACTATTCTAGTATTTGGATCTTGCTTGCTTTCTGCAGATCTGTTTGCCAGTCGGCAAAGGCGTCCTCCAACCAAATAAAACGCAATCATCTTTAAAATAAAATGCAATTTTGGAACAAACACAATATTAAGATTTTAGCAAGAAAATTACTGTTACGAGTTTTGAAGAAGGATGTTACGCCTTTTTCGGGACTTCAGTTTAACTTTTAGTAGTGTTTGTTGTTAGCAAACACTAATTCACATTTATTTGTACCTATAGTTTAGTGGTGTTTCTACCCCTAGGTTTTTAAGCTACTACGACTATTATGTCATTACTTATTAATTCGTATTGGGTTTTAACAAATCACAACTTCTTTATTCGTAAGACTTAAGATTAATACGCGCGCATAAGGGATCGGCACTTGCGCGTGGTAAAATTACATAACCAATTTCGGTCACAGCGACAAATC